TATATATATATATATTTTTTTTTTTTTTTTTTTTTTTGAGACAGAGTCTTGCTCTATCACCCAGGCTGGAGTGCAATGGCGCAATCTTGGCTCACTGCAGCCTCTGCCTTCCAAGTTCAAGCAATTCTCCTGTCTCAGCCTCCTGAGTAGCTGGGATTACAGGTGTGTGGCACCATGCCTGGCTGATTTTTGTATTTTTAATAGAGATGGGGTTTCATCAAGTTGGTCAGGCTGCTCTTGAACTCCTGACCTAGCAATCTGCCCACTTCAGCCTCCCAAAGTGCTGGGATTACAGGTGTGAGCCACCATGCCCAGCCTGCAACTATATTTTTGTATACATTAACCATCCACTTTTCTCCCACCCGACCCCCCCACCCCCACCCTTCTCAGCCTCTGATAACCATCAGTCTATTCTCTATCTCCATGAGTTTAATTGTTTTAATTTTTAGCTCCCACAAATGAGTGAGAACATGCAAAATTATTTTGCTATGCCTGGCTTATTTCATTTAATGTAATGTTCTTCAGTTCCATCCATGTTGTTGGAAATGTTAGGATTTCATTCTTTTTTATGGCTGAATAGTACTCCATGGTGTATATTTACCACATTGTCTTTATATGTTCGTCTGTTGATGGACATTTAGTTTGCCTCCAAATCTTGGCTATTGTGTAAACATGGGAGTGCAGACATCTCTTCAATATACTGATTTCTTTTCTTTCAGTTATATGCCTAGCAGTGGTATTGCTGGATCATATAGTAGTTATATTTTTAGCGATTTTTTTCAGACAGGTTTTTGCTTTGTTACCCAGGCTGGAGTGCAGTAGTGTGATCATAGCTCACTGCAAGTCTCAGCCTCCTGGACTCAAGTGATCTTCCTGCCTCAGCTTCCCAGGTAGTTGGTGCATGCACCACCACACTCAGCTAATTTTAAAATTTTATTTATTTATTTTTGTAGAGACGAGGTCCCATTTTGTTGCCCAGGTTGGTGTTGAACTCCTAGGGTCAGGTCATCCTCCCATCTCAGCCTCCTAAAATGTTGGGATTACAGGTGTGAGCCTATTTTTAGTTCTTTTGGGAACCTCCATACTGTTCTCCATAGTAGCTGTATTAATTTACATTCCCACCAACAGTGTACAAGGGTTCTCTTTTTTCCACATCCTTGCCAGGATTCATTATTGCCTGTCTTTTGAATAAAAATCATTTTAGCTGGAGTGAAGTGATATCTCAGTGTAGTTTCGATTTGTATTTCTCTGATCACTGAGGTTGAGCACCTGTTTGCAATTTGTATGTCTTCTTTTTTTTTTTTTTTAATTTTTTATTGGATTATAGGTTTTGGGGTACATGAGCAGAGCATGCAAGACAGTTGCGTAGGTACACACATGGCAGTGTGCTTTGCTTTTCTTCTCCCCTTCACCCACATTTGGCATTTCTCCCCAGGCTATCCCTCCCCACCTCCCCCTCCCACTGGCCCTCCCCTTTTCCCCCCAATAGACCCCAGTGTTTAGTACTCCCCTTTCTGTGTCCATGTGTTCTCATTTTTCATCACCCACCTATGAGTGAGAATATGCGGTGTTTCATTTTCTGTTCTTGTGTCAGTTTGCTGAGGATGACGTTCTCCAGATTCATCCATGTCCCTACAAACGACACGAACTCATCATTTCTGATTGCTGCATAATATTCCATGGTGTATATGTGCCACATTTTTCCAATCCAGTCTATTATCAATGGGCATTTGGGTTGATTCCAGGTCTTTGCTATTGTAAACAGTGCTGCAATGAACATTCGTGTACATGTGTCCTTATAGTAGAACGATTTATAGTCTTTTGGATATATACCCAGTAATGGGATTGCTGGGTCAAATGGAATTTCTATTTCTAAGGCCTTGAGGAATCGCCACACTGTCTTCCACAATGGTTGAACTAATTTACACTCCCACCAACAGTGTAAAAGTGTTCCTTTTTCTCCACATCCTCTCCAGCATCTGTTGTCTCCAGATTTTTTAATGATCGCCATTCTAACTAGCGTGAGATGGTATCTCAATGTGGTTTTGATTTGCATCTCTCTGATGACCAGTGACGATGAGCATTTTTTCATATGATTGTTGGCCTCATATATGTCTTCTTTCGTAAAGTATCTGTTCATATCCTTTGCCCACTTTTGAATGGGCTTGTTTGTTTTTTTCCTGTAAATCTGCTTGAGTTCTTTGTAAATTCTGGATATCAGCCCTTTGTCAGATGGGTAGACTGCGAAAATTTTTTCCCATTCTGTTGGTTGCCGATCCACTCTAGTGACTGTTTCTTTTGCCGTGCAGAAGCTGTGGAGTTTCATTAGGTCCCATTTGTCTATTTTGGCTTTTGTTGCCAATGCTTTTGGTGTTTTGTTCATGAAGTCCTTGCCTACTCCTATGTCCTGGATAGTTTTGCCTAGATTTCCTTCTAGGGTTTTTATGGTGCCAGGTCTTATGTTTAAGTCTTTAATCCATCTGGAGTTAATTTTAGTGTAAGGTGTCAGGAAGGGGTCCAGTTTCTGCTTTCTGCACATGGCTAGCCAGTTTTCCCAACACCATTTGTTAAACATGGAATCCTTGCCCCATTGCTTGTTTTTGTCAGGTTTATCAAAGATTGTATAGTTGTATGTATGTTGTGTTGCCTCCGGTGCCTCTGTTTTGTTCCATTAGTCTATATCTCTGTTTTGGTACCAGTACCATGCTGTTTTGATTACTGTAGCCTTGTAGTATAGTTTGAAATCCGGTAGTGTGATGCCCCCCGCTGTGTTCTTTTTGCTTAGAATTGACTTGGCTATGCGGGCTCTCTTTTGGTTCCATATGAAGTTCATGGTGGTTTTTTCCAGTTCTGTGAAGAAAGTCAATGGTAGCTTGATGGGGATAGCGTTGATTCTGTAAATTACTTTGGGCAGTATAGCCATTTTCACGATGTTAATTCTTCCTAACCATGAACATGGAATGTTTCTCCATCTGTTTGTGTCCTCTCTGATTTCGTTGAGCAGTGGTTTGTAGTTCTCCTTGAAGAGGTCCCTTACGTTCCTTGTGAGTTGTATTCCAAGGTATTTTATTCTTTTTGTAGCAATTGTGAATGGCAGTTCGCTCTTGATTTGGCTTTCTTTAAGTCTGTTATTGGTGTAGACGAATGCTTGTGATTTTTGCACATTGATTTTATATCCTGAGACTTTGCTGAAGTTGTTTATCAGTTTCAGGAGTTTTTGGGCTGAGGCAATGGGGTCTTCTAGGTATACTATCATGTCGTCTGCAAAAAGAGACAATTTGGCTTCCACCTTTCCTATTTGAATACCCTTTATTTCTTTTTCTTGCCTGATTGCTCTGGCTAGAACTTCCAGTACTATATTGAATAGGAGTGGTGAGAGAGGGCATCCTTGTCTAGTGCCAGATTTCAAAGGGAATGCTTCCAGTTTTTGCCCATTCAGTATGATATTGGCTGTTGGTTTGTCATAAATAGCTTTTATTACTTTGAGATACGTTCCATCGATACCGAGTTTATTGAGGGTTTTTAGCATAAAGGGCTGTTGAATTTTGTCAAATGCCTTCTCTGCGTCAATTGAGATAATCATGTGGTTTTTGTTTTTGGTTCTGTTTATGTGGTGAATTACGTTGATAGACTTGCGTATGTATGTCTTCTTTTGAGAAATGTCTATTCAGCTCTTTTGCCCATTTTTCAATAGGATTATTAGATTTTTTTTTGCCTAATGAGTTGTTTGAGCTCCTTATATGTTCTGATTATTAATCCCTTGTCAGACGAATAGTTTGCAAATGTATTTTCTCCCATTCTGGGGTTGTCTCTTCACTTTGTTGATTGTTTCCTTGGCTGTGCAAAAGCTTTTTAACTTGATGTGATCCCATTTGTCCACTTTTGCTTTGACTGTTTGTGCTTGTGGGGTATTGCTCAAGAAATCTTTGGCCCCAGACCAATTTGCAGTACTCATGTATCTTTCAGAATTAATTTAGCATTGGAAACATAAATAAATTGATATATTTTCTTCATAAATAGAAACATGCTTGATACTGTTTCCCTTTTCTTATTTTACTTAATAATTATTATGAACATCTCTTCTGCATATAATTTTCTTTAATGTTTGTACAGTCTTCTTTGGCAAAACTATAACATGACGTATTTTCAATCCTATATCCATGGATAGTTCTTTAAAGTTTTTTTGTTCTACCAAATAACGCTGACATGAACCTCATGCATGTAAGTTCTTGTACACTGGTAGGAGCATATAACTAGGAGAAATTCCTAAGAGTTGAATTAATGGGTCAAAAGGGTGTGTGTATTTTAAATGTTGATATTGCATAATTGCCTATGAATTGTATGAATTTGCACTCGCACCAAAACTCTGTAAGGGACCTCTCTTCCTATGCTTGTTGACTTGATAAAAGTCACTTGATAAAAGTAACTTGATAAAAGTCAACAAGCATAGGAAGAGAGGCCCCTTAAAATATTATCAAATTTTTTATTTTTGTTGATATGAGAAGTGAAAAATTGTATTTTGTATGTTTATAAATTTGTTTGAAGGTATGATAATCACCTTTTTGTTTCTTTTCTGTGATGTATCTCTTCCTATCCTTAGCTCACAGATTATTGGGCAAAAAATCATTTGTTGATTTATAAGTGTTTTTAATATTAAGAAATTAATTCTGTATATATATATATCAGAAATATTTTTTTCTCAGTTTGTCATTTGATATTTATGATGAGTTTTTACCACACATAAATTTTTGCATTTTATGTAGTTGAATTTTTTATTTTATGGTTTCTATGTTTGTTTGTTTGTTTTTTGTTTTTGTTTTTTTTGAGTCTCACCGTGTTGCCACGCTGGACTGCAGTGATGCCATTATGGCTTACTGCAACCTCAATCTCCTGGGCTCAAGTGATCCTCCCATCTCAGCCTCCCTAGTAGCTGGGACCACAGGCACATGTCACTATACCAGACTAATTTTTAATTTTTTCCTTTTTTTTTTTTTTTGTAGAGATGGGAGTCTCCCTGTGTTGCCTACGATGGTCTTGAACCCTTGGTCTCAAGAAATCCTCCTGCCTCGGCCCTCCACAAAGTGCTGTGATTACAGGCATGTACTAGTGTGCCTGGCCATGGTTTCTGTGTTTTAAGTCACACTTAGAAAGGTTTTTCCCTACCTGAAGTTTAAAAATGTTCTAATTCTTCAGGTCATCATGGTTTCATTACTTTTGATAGATGAATGAAGTTAGAACCTGTATTAGTTAAGAATTGCATTCAGGTACATCTAATAGAGATTCAACTACAAAATAGGGTTTCTCAGCATTCCTGGATTCCTCTTAGGATAAAGGAGAGTTGGATGTAGCATTACTTTCACTCTTTAAAGAAAAGAAATCACACATACAAGAAGAAAAGAAATCACAAGACACTGCAAATTCACAACTTTTCTTGAATTTGTCAGCAAGCTGAAGTTCTAGGTAAACTCAATTAACCTTAATCTAAGGAAAGACATCGCAAAGGAGATGTGGTACAGGTGCACTTGCTTATTTGGAGCCAACTCCCCCACTCCCCTCCAGTCAAGCTTGTAAGAATCCAGATAAAAGTTTTAATGAATTGCTAAAGGCCAACTGTAGCCCAGCATGAGCATACAGAAACCCTGGGCTTACAAGTACGGGGAGAATTCACACACACTTGCAGGGTCCTTTACATGAACCTTACTGTGTATTCACAAGAAAGACTGGGGGAAGTGTGAGAGTTCTGAAAAAAATATCCCGTGTGGTACAAGCCTGGGGAAAATGAAGAGCAGCTGCTGAAGGGAAAAGCATCAAGTCCTTCCCAGATTCTTCTCCCTTCTCTTCTCTGTGGAAACAAAAGCCTTAAGCTGCTGGGTGAAGGGCAGTAAGTCCTATCGTTAGGCTGTAAATCACTTACAGGTGAAGACCCATTGCAGCTGGAAAAAGGGAAAAGAAAAAATTCTCTACCTTTGTAGGCCCTAGACCATTAGAAGTATTTCAGCTGGGGGTGGCATAGGCTCAGGGAGAAGGCCCTTCCTTGAGACTCAGGGGCACAGTGCTTGTCTAAAACTGAAGCTGAATCAGTAAAACAGAGAATCTCACCACCCCGACCAACCAGGCTAATAAGCAGCAAGTAACGACTGCAGTCTGCTACTGAAATAGCATCAAGAGCATGGAGGAAGACATTGAGCAAACCTCTGGCAAGTCAGCCTCAACAATAAACACAAACTTAATATTAGAGAAGCCTGGAGTCTGTTATGCACTGACAGTAACATAGCAAGAACAAAACCCAAACACAGCTGAGCTTCTGACTAGACTGAATCAATCTCCCATACTAAAGTCCTAGCAGAAGGAAAGGGATGATCATTTTCGAGCATAAAAATGATTTAGCTCAGTCTTTGCTCCCTTACCATAGACGTCCAGCTTTCAACAAAATATTCTTACAAGGCATATGAGGAAACAAGAGAAAATCACCAAGAGACAAAGCAATGAACATAACCAGACTTAGATATGATACATATATTGAAATTATCAGACAGAGAAACTGAAGGAACTACATTTAGTATGCCAAAGGACCTAGTGGAAATGGCAGACAGCCTTCATGATCAGATGGGTAATTTTTTCAGAGAGATGGCAACTCTAAGAAAGAATAAAATGACAATTCTGGAAATAGGAAACATAGTTACACAGATAAAGGTTGCTTTTGTCAGGCTTACCAGTAGTTGTTCTTTTTCCTTCACAGTGGAGGAAAAATAAGTGAACCTGAAGATAGTTCCATAGAAATTATCCAACATGAAACGGAAAGAAAAAAGTGAAAAAAGCAAAACAATGCCAGAACAGAGCATCCAAGAGCTGTGGCACAATATTAAACAATCATGCATATTTTCAATTGACATGCTAGGAGAATAGAAAGACAATGGAACAGAAGAAATATGTGAAGAAATAATGGCCATGGATTAAAAAAAAAAAGAAAAGCAACTTTTTTTTTGAGACAGCGTCTCACTGTCACCCAGACTGGAGTGCAGTAGCACAATGATGGCTCACTGCAGCCTTGATCTCTCAGCTGCAAGAGACCCTCCCACCTCAGCATCCTGAGTAGCTATGACTATAGGCATGCACCATCTCACCTGGTTAATTTTTTATATTTTGTAGATACAGGGTCTCCGTATATTGCCCAGGCTGCTCTTGAATTCCTGGGCTCAAGTGATCCTTCCACCTTGGCCTCCCAAATTGTTGGGATTACAGGCATAAGCCGCCATGCCTGGCTAAAATTTTTAAAATTAATGATAGATACCAAGCTAAAAATCCAAGAAGCTCAGAGAATACTGACCAGGGTAAACATTTAAAGACACAGCTAGACATGTATTATTTGAACTGCTGAGAAATGAAGACAAAGATGCTAAAGGCAGCTTGAGAAAAAAGGAAACATTACATAAAGAGTAACAAAGATAAGAATTACAGTAGACTTCTGGTCAAATCTATGTAAGCTAGAAGACAGTGGAGTGGCATCTTTAAAGCACTGAAAGAGAAAAGTGTCAGCCTGGGATTCTATATCACACAATGATATATTTCAAAAATGAGAGAGAAATAAATACTTTTGGTTTTTTAGGCCGCTAGGGTTTCTCTTCTTCATAAAACAGGAAGTTGGCTGCTAATCTTGATTCTCCCACTTCTTCCTAGCTAACTGAACCCATATTTTAAAAATTAAGGTAAAATTTACATGTCATAAATTCACCATTTAACTATTTTAAAGTGTTTAATTCAGTAGGTTTTAGTACATTCACAACATTGTGCAATTATCACCACTAATCCTAGAACATTTTCATCACTCTCAAAGAGAAACCCTGTACGTATCAGGCAGTCAACTACTATTCTAACCTCCTCCTAGTCTGTGGCAACCGTGAATCTGCTTTCTATCTCTATGGAATTTCCTATACTGAATATTTCAAATAAATGGAATCATAGAATATGTAACCTTTTGCACCTGACTTCTTTCACTTAGCACAATGTGTTTAAGGCTCATTCATGTTGTGGAATCTTTTAGTACTCTATTTCTTTTTATGGCTGAAGAATAATCAATTATATGGACTTACCACATTTTGTTTATCCATTCATCATTTGATGGATATTTGGGTTATTTCCAGTTTTTGGCTACTATGAATAATGCTGCTGTGAACATTTGTGTACAAGGTTTTGTTTCTGCTTTCAATTTTCTCAGATATACACATAGGAGTAGAATTGCTAGGTCATGTGGTAATTCTGTGCTTAACTTTTTGAGGACCCACCAAACTGTTTTCCATAGTAGCTGCATCATTTTACATTTTCACCAACAATGTATGATGAACCCTAATTTTTAGTTAGAACTGCAGAACCCTGAATACACTGCAATGCCCAATTCCTCAGGATGAATTGTGATTGCTAAAAGCCAGTTCAACCATATTATATTTTCCAAAAATGGCCACAATATTTATAGTCTGATATGTTTTTTACTGTAACTTACCACTTCATCATCAGGAGATGGTGTCTGTTTCCTCTCCTCTTCACACTGAACAGATCTATGTGACACATTTAACAATTAGAAGATAGTGTAAGAGTTGTGTCATAAAAGGCAATATGGCTTTTGTCTAGCTTTTTTTTCTCAGGACATGTGCCCTTGAATCCCTGAGTAGCAATACAGGAAGTCCAGAAGATTATGCAGAGAGACTGCATAGAAATAGAGTGAGGTGTTCAAGGAACCCCAGTTGTTACAGCCTTAGCTGTTTATCTTCTCAACCCAGGCAACAGATATGTGAATGAGTGAGTCTTCAGATGATCCAGCATTAGCGTTATCTGACTACCACTGTGGCCAGATCCCAAACAAGACTGCCTAGCTGATTCTAATCAGTCCTCCAAACAATGATAAATAATAGTATTTTAATTGTTTTTTAAGCCACTCATTTGGGGGTGATTTATTAATCAATAATATATGTCAAAGCAATTGGTCCTCTTTGTCAGATTCCCAATTTTTAAACTTCTTTGCATCTAAGGATGGACATGGGACCCAGTTCAGACTAAGAATATATGGGAAAATTTTCTGGGAGGACTTCTGAGTAGTTTCTTTCTGATATAAGAGATGGGACATAGGAGAACTTGCTTACAGCTCCCCAGCTATGCTCCCTTGTTTCCTGCTCTTGAATGAGAAGTATCGATGTCATGCTTATACCTAGAGCAGCCATTTGTGGTCCTGAGGTGATAGCCTCAGAGGTTAAAACATCAGTATCTGAGGATGATGGAGAAGAATGGACAGTGTTAGGATGTCCAGTGACACTAATCTCTAAAGGAACCCTGGAACCTCCTGAGTTTGAGTACTGTTTCTGAGCCAGAACACTTCTATTTCCTCTACCTATTTATCATTTTGATGTACTATGATTCTGAATTATAGCTGTTTCCTAGTTTCAAAGTGCAGTTTTCTATTTTTCTTGTTGTTTTGAGGTGATTTGCTAGAGAAGGAGTAAGAAGCCTCTTTATTCATCATCTTGAAACTGATCTTTATTCATAATAAGAAAGTTCAAGTTAAAATATGATTTCATGTTCATTTCAGATAGGCAATAAAAATGTTTGATTATACAATATGTTAGGAGAGGTATGGGAAAGAGACACTGTTATATGATGCTGGTTGGAACATAAATTGGAACAAACTTTTGGAGTGCCATTTAGGGGTACTGTGTGAAATGCACCGAGCCTTTGATCCAGCAGTTTTCCTTCTGGGAATTTATCTAACAGATAAACTCACACATTTGCACAAAGACATAAAAGGGTATTCACTGAATCATTATTTAGAATAGTGAAGCAGTGGAAACAACTTAAACATGAGGCTGGTTAAATAAATTATGATATATCCATACAATGGAATATTATGTTACCATTAAAAATGATGAGGTAGATACATATGGTCTTGTATGTAAGTGAAACAAGTGTATATGGTGTCCTCTATCTTTTTTTGTGTGTGTGTGAGATGGAGTTTCACTCTTGTCGCCCAGGCTCGAGTGCAATGGAGTGATTTCAGCTCACTGCAACCTCCGCCTCCCAGGTTCAAGCAATTCTCCTGCCTCAGCCTCCCAAGAAGCTGGGATCACAGGTGTGTGCCGCCATGCGCAGCTAATTTTTGTATTATTAGTAGAGATGGGGTTTGACCATGTTGGCCAGGCTGATCTCAAACTCCTGACCTCAGGCAATACACCTACCTCGCCCTCCCAAAGTTCTGGGATTACAGGTGTGAAGCTACTGCACCCAGCCTGTGTCCTCTAACTTTTGTAAAAACTTTAGAAAAACACATAAACATATATTTATATAAGTATAAATATATATATATATGGGGATCATTAAGGGCTATCTTAAAGGGTGGCTATTAGATAGGTAGATGAATTTTCTATTTTCCACTTCTAACAGATTGTTACGAGGCCTCTCTCTCTCTCTCTCCCCCCCTCCCCTCCCCTCCCTTTCCCTTTCCTTCTGTTTTTTGAGACAGAGTTTTGCTCTTGTTGTCTAGGCTGAAGTGCAATGGTGAGATATCGGCTCACTGCAACCTCTGCTTCCTGGGTTCAAGCGATTTTCCATCTTCAGCCTCCTTAGTTGGCACATTAGCCTCAGCTGGGATTTCAGGCATGTGCCACCACACTTGGCTAATTTTGTTTTTTTAGTAGAGATGGGGTTTTTCCATGTTGGTCAGGCTGGTCTCAAACTCCCGACCTTAGGTGATCTGCCAACCTTGGCCTCCAAAGGGTTGGGATTACAGGGATGAGCCACCATGCCTGGCCTGGCAGTATTTCTCTCTTGCCTGTCCAGTGATGTTCTGCATGGCCAAGTGATAGCTGGGCTGGCTCTGTAATGCACCACCTTCTATTTGCTTTCCATCCTTTCCTGTCTCATGTCCCTTTTCATTGACTGTCTCTATGAAGAATTCGTACTTAAGCTTTGCCTGGGCTCTGTTTTCTAGGCAGCCATAACTAGCCTAACAGTGTAGTATAAGTATTTCATTTTACAAGTTTTAAATGGGGGGAGGGGAGAGAACAGAAAGTGTTCTCAAGATATGCAAGTTCTCAGGTGTCCCATATCAATGTACTCGTCGAGAAAACTCCTGAAAGTACTGAGAGAATGGAAGTCGTGGTATAAAAGATCTTCCAGTGAGCACTGAACCTTTGGAGATTCCTTTTCCATTTAATTTCTCTTCAAAATCATAATTGAAATGCCCAAGGGAATATAAAAATAGAAAATTTGTATTTGTATTGGAAGGACATTTATATTTTGTGAAATTTCAGCAAGATACAGTGCAAATATGCCCAGACTGAAGGGAATATTAATCAGCTTTTAATTTCAGGAATGCAGAAGAAAAACTCACTTGGAAAATAAGTAGATGAAAGTCTCTCAAAGAACTCCCCTCACAAACTCAAGCTCAGAGGAGCAGACCTGGGAGTGAGAGTGGGCTATGTGATAGTATGGGGAGGGAACCAGTGATCTTGGACTCTTACCATGGCCCAGTCTTGGAGCACCTCTCTCCTTGCTCACTCTCAGCATTTCCTCAGAGTAGATACCTCTGGGCACTACTATAGTACCATTGCTGCAAGCCCCTCAACAAAGAATTGTGCCTCACCTAACTTCCGGTTGTCACACCATCACAGAGAAAAAACAACTGCCAGCTACATCACCAAATGTGGTATGCCTACTCTTTTTTAAAATTTATTTTTATTTATTAATTTAAAAAAATTTTTGTTGTACTTTAGGTTCTGGGGTGCATATGCAGATCATGCAGGATTGTTGCATAGGTACACACATGGCAATGTGGTTTGCTGCCTCCATCCCGTCACCTACATCTGGCATTTCTCCCCATGTTATTCTTCCCCAACCTCCCCACCACCCTGCTGTCCCTCCCTTAGCACCCCCAACAGACACCGGTGTGTGATGCTCCTTTCTCTGTGTCCCTGTGTTCTCATCATTCAACACCCACCTATGAGTGAGAACATGTGGTATTTCATTTTCCGTTCTTGTGTCAGTTTGCTGAGAATGATCGTTTCTAGATTCATCCTTGTCCCTACAAAGGACACAAATTCATCATTTTTATGGCTGTATAGTATTCCACGGTGGTGTATATGTGCCACATTTTCCTTGTTCAGTCTATCATCGATGGGCATTTGGGTTGGTTCCAGGTCTTTGCTATTGTAAACAGTGCCACTATGAACATACGTGTGCATGTGTCTTTATAGTAGAAAGATTTATAATCCTTAGGGTATATACCCAGTAATGGGATTGCTGGGTCAAATGAATTTCTATTTCTAGGTCCTTGAGGAAGTGCCACACTGTCTTCCACAATGGTTGAACTAGTTTACACTCCCACCAACAATGTAAAAGTGTTCCTATTTCTCCACATCCTCTCCAGCATCTGTTGTCTCCAGATTTTTTAATGATTGCCATTCTAACTGGCATGAGGTGGTATCTCAATGTGGTTTTGATTTGCATTTCTCTAATAATCAGTGATGATGAGCATTTTTTCATATGTTTGCTGGCCTCATATATGTCTTCTTTTGAAAAGTATCTGTTCATCTCCCACTTTTGGATGGGTTTGTTTGTTTGTTTGTTTGTTTTTAACTTATAAATCTGTTTTAGTTCTTTGTAGGTTCTGTATATTAGCCCTTAGTCAGATGGGTAGATTGCAATTTTTTTTCCCATTTTGTTGGTTGCTGGTTCACTCTAATGATGGCTTCTTTTGCTGTACGGAACCTCTGGAGTTTAGTTAGGTCCATTTGTCTATTTTGGCTTTTGTTGCCAATGCTTTTGGTGTTTTAGTCATGAAGTCCTGGCCTATGCCTATGTCCTGAACGGTTTTGCCTAGGTTTTCTTCTAGGGTTTTTATGGCATTATGTTCTATTTTTAAGCCTTTCATCAATCTGGAGTTAATTTTAGTATAAGGTGTCAGAAAGGGGTCCAGTTTCTGCTTTCTG